CTACAAATGCTGCATTAACCTGACATACCGATTGCTTAAGCGATACTGTATCGCTTAAGCAATCCATCATATCCAGAACACATTTTCATCATCTCTACCTACAATCGTGCTACCCATAATGCAAGAAAATATTCAACAAATTTCACTCCTTTCAACTTCATTACATAAACACAACCCAACACCCTAAACACTAAATCAAAATCATAACCCAAACCCAATCTATCATTAAATCTTGTAAATCAAATATAAATGAAAGGTGGAGATACACATACTTGGACAATGTAGGAGGAGGAGGAGAGGAGGAGGACTGTGGCGGAGAGAATGTTAATAGCGAGTAGAGATAGTGTTAATGGCGGGAAGAAGAAGATGTACAGGACGGAGGAATAACAGATGTACAGGAAGAAGAAGATGTAGACGAAGCTTAGAAGAAACAACAACCAGGGAGGGATGCGTTAATGTGGCGAAGGAAGAGAGAAGGTGTTTGGGTTTGTTTGTAAATTTCGGATCTTGGGGACATATTATAATTTTTAAAAGATCACCAATACTTTATAATCATAATTAACCCTAATCATGTTTAATTAACCTTAATCAATAACAAGGCTATTTACTTAACACTTTCAAACTATATGGCTTTTAATTAAATTTAACTTATATCCTTTTAATAAAATGCCCCTAACAACTGCCATAGCAATTCCTTAAGTCTTTGAGGATTGAGATCCTATTAGTAATTATTTCTGGTTTCGTCTTTTTTATTTCCGGCCCATTCACTTGTTGAATTTTGAATTTGTGGAACAGCAATGCAGACAAAGGTTATTTCAATTTGGGCTGCCTCTGAATTTGATTTGTTTCGGCTTTAAACCAAACCTCAGGCCCAAGAGCGCTACTCTCTGAATAGCCCGGCCGTTTTTAAATTTGTAGAAACAGAATGTCAAACAAGAAAAGAAGATTAAAAAAAAAAAAAAACCTACAGTAGCAGAAATTTCCTATTTAGTAGTATTATACATCAATATTAAGGCTTTACCATAAAGTTTGGGTCAATCAATAAATTAATAGACATAATATACAAAAACTATAGGTTTCGTATTGTAGGTTCCAATGTATCCATAATAATAAATATCGTGTTCTATCTATATATCAATTAATGTGAAATCAATGATTATATATGAGCAATGATGGAGCCGCAATCAGAAAGGTGGCAAAACGGATGTTTTTATGAGAATGAGCATAGCTTAGTAGGGGTATTAATAAAGCTTTATAAGGAAATTGATTTGAATGGGTAAAAAACATTTTACGTGGTAACTGCTGATAATATAAATGATTGCAGAGACATGCATAAATTCACAAAAATTATCTCCTATACACGGAAATAAATTTCACAAAGAAAGGCTAAAGATGTGGGTGGTGTGGTGGTGTGTCCAATTAATGACCCACTGCCAAGTCTGTACATCTTGGTTGGAGAATTCAGAATTTATGTTAAAAGATAAGGATTACCTCACTCTCTACAGTCTCCATCATTCTCATTAATTGGGTTTGGAAGAATGTATATGAAGATTTTATTGGTTTATGATTTGTACAATAAATAAGCGCGATCTGTGGGATATGCTGATTGATGTCAGGTTGACAAATCTTCAACAACTGTCCTTTAAATAATACTGAAATAATAAGACATACAAAATGCAATTAGTCTTTGTCTATTTAATCTAATTTATTAGTTATGACATGATGTTTGTTTTTTCATTATGAATTACTGATTTGGGCAAAACACTGATTAATATTTAACAACATATATTACATATAAGGCTAACTGTGTGGTGCTAGGGTTTTTCAAGCAATCACATCATCAATCACATAATTTGATTTTAAATGCTTCTTCCCGACACAATAATTCCGTTTACGCCTCACCTTTAAAACTTCCATTCTGCTAATTGATACCAACCACAATCTATTCTCAAGTGGTCCTTGCTCTACAACTATAAGGTCCGTGATCTAACCCTACATTAATTGTAAAGCAAAAATTAATACAATATGATCCTGGCTGAAGTTGAAGTGTTTAAAATAATTAGATTGAAATACCATGTTAATGTATATCGTACTGAACAAGAACAAAGAATCCATGTTGTTTTTCACTTGTATTAATTTGGATGATGAAGTCATATAGCTTTGTTTGTTGTGTTTAGATTTGTTTTCCCAGCACAATCTGTGTCTACGAATCCTGGACAAGCCATGAGAGGGTTCTTGCGGCTTTGAGATAATGTAAATATATATATATAATATATATAGAGGTAGTAGGCTATATTCTTCTTTGGGTTTCTCATTGAATGGGGGGTAGTCATTTTCAATTTCATTAAGAGAAGAGACTGGAATTCTTTACTCATAGCTGTCACTGGCTCCATATGTTCCTCTCATTCGTCTTAATTGCATGAGCCAAATGGACGACAACAACTCATCACCATTCTACACGTATGATTTTCTTCTTTTATAACTTTCTTTTGTTTGTCGGTGTCTTCCCTAAACTTATATCATTTGAAATGACTGTATTTTAGCTCTTACACTTTGCCTAATTAATATAGAAATAAAATTAATTAATAACCAGGCAGCCGGGTAATGGAGTTTTCAGATTTCAATCAGTCAAAGCATAAGTGAGTAGGATGATGTGATGCAGGCAGACCAATCCGTCACAAATATTATAAAGTGAGAAGGGCCCAGTTCCATTTTAATAAATCTAATCATCACCCTTACAGTGACGCATTCCAAACCTACTATCTTTTTATCGGGTGATGTATAGATATCACCAATCGACGTGGTAACCTTCAACTCTTCAATTTCTAGTGTCCAATCTTCATGATTGGTTGCTACCTTAATTATTATTTTTTACAGTTCAACTTATACACCATACAAGACGAAGTGGATCTTATATAGATGACAAAGTTGTAGTTGTAATTCAGTAAACAATGTAAAAATGCCCTAACCACTCCATATTGACAAAATAATCAAAATCAGACGTAATTATAAAAACTAATGAGACAAAAAAAAAAAAAACTTTTTTCTGTGTCCACCTACTATATATATTGTGTTGTTAGATATAAACGTCCACTTCGTTGTTCATATTTTTTTTTCCAAAAATTTGGAATATGATATTTAATATTTTGGATTATAATCAAGGCCAATCCATTTCTGGGGCCCGTCCCGTTACTTCACAAACGTGCTGGTTGTTCAACTTCAATCTTGACGGCTAGGCTAGCTGCCAAGTAATTTGTGTTTTTAATCTTATAATTAATAGTAATGGGCATGTACCGCGATCAATGTTTAACCTATCGTATGATTATAGATGTGTATATCAATCGACTTGTTTAGATAGAAAAATAAAAGCATTAACTCCATCTTCCAGAATAAATCCTGAAATTCATAAATGTTTTTCAATATTCAATTAAAATCACAAGGTAATTTATCTGCCACACACACTTAATAGACAGATATGTTGATTTTACACCAAATTACACATAAACAATAACTAAAATTACCATGGATGGTTATGAAAGTGTTTATGGTGTATGATGATGTTTTTTAGCAATACTAAATAACAATTGGACAAGAGGACTTTTAAGAGTATTCGATGTTGTGAGCAAGACACTTCACTTTGTTATAGATATGATTTCTTTTGTGATCGCTAGTGAAGATTACAAATTTCGAAGTGTTCTAAGTATAATAATAAGTCAGTATTTTTCTAGTATTATCTTTTGCTATTTTTGTATAGAACAAGTGTCTAAAATCGATAATCAATCCTTTGAGAGTGAGTCTTCTATTTATACTCTATTCATCTTAAGTAATGAGTGATTTCAAAGTTGTCTTGATTTATAAAGATCTTTCTTCATTCTAATTCTGCGATTTTAATCTTATCCTTAATTAATAAAATTACGACAGTTGTAAGCACAATATCCTTCTAATTCGGTTTGAGAATTAGACAACTATTATACTTTATCTGCTTGTGCTTGGTGAATCTTGCATGTTGGGGCTAATTGGCGAGAAGTCTGTGAATCTTGATTGGTGAAGACGTCAGCATATATTTAGGCTAACAACACAAATGCTACAACTTTCGTTTTCATTTTGATGATAAAACCAATCCATTTGGCAATTTCAGCTTAGTATGCCACCACCACCAACCCAAAAAATACACACATCGACTTGTACGATGATTTATTGTGACAAAAGTACGAGAAAATAAAGTTCAGTTCCACCGCATGCAATTTTATTAAGATGACAGGTGATTGAACAATTTTTTAAAAAATAATAAAAAATAAAATAATATTTCAATGTCATACGTCAATGTTGGATCATACATGTTTTTGTTATGTTCTTTGAAAACAGTTAATTATATTGGGAATAACAAGGAGCAAAATTGAAAACAATAATGCTAGATGTACAAACAAATCTTTGTACAAATGTTTGTACAAAGATTTGTTTGTTTGTACAAAGATTTGTTTGTAAAATAACTATTTGTTCTTTGTTTTTTATCTGTTTGTATGACTCAGTTATACAACTCAGTTATAAGCATAGCATTGCACTATTTTAAAATTATACCATTTTCAATTCAACTTTTTTATATAACCTTAAGGTGACAGTTTCCGATTGGTCAGTTTGTATTTGGGAAGATAAGACTCATTGTAAACTGACCAATCGCGAGCTGTCACATTAGGATTGTATGAAAAAATTGTAAGTGTAGTGCTACTCTTTAAAATATTGCACGCAATAATAAATTATTATGTAATAATAAATCAATAATGTTTTGCTTACCACCCGTATAAATAGATAAAAATTATTCAAAATTTATATGAAATGACTATTCTAACCTTTTTTTTTTTTTTTTGTTTTTTTGGTATGTTTGTAGTTTGTACCACTCGCATAAACAGATAAAAATTATACAAAATTTATAAGAAAATGACTATACTAGCCTTCATTTTTTGTCTACAATGGCATGGCATTGCTAATAATAAATTATTAATAAATAATGTTGGTAACAACAAAATTAACGGAGTAGATACGGAGCTTAAAATGCAAACTAAGAGGAAAGGGGAAGATAAATCAGACAAGGAGCGGATATCGGGCCTCTTCTCCATCTCCTGTAAGGATAAACAATGCTTTTTCAGCTGATCTTTCGCACAAAATATAGCTTTAAACTTGATGGGTTTTGGGTCATTTGTTGGATCTTGTGTTTTTGGATAGGTTTGCCAGGGTTTGACCTTAACAGTAGCTGCAATTGCAGAAATGGCCAGAGTTATTAAGTTCGAAGAGGTAGCAAAACACAAAGAGAGGGATGATTGCTGGCTTGCAATCTTTGGAAAGGTTAATTCATCTAACTTGTTCTTATGTATCAGTCTTTTGCTTAGCTATAATTTATATTGATTTTGTGGATTGTTTATTTGTTAAAAAGAAAAAAAACAGTGTTCTGTAATTGGATTTAGATGAACTGTATTTATGATTTGATTTGATTCAATATTTGGATTATTTAGGGATTAAGATCCGTAAAAAATAATTTTGTTAATTTTCAGTCATGCCACAGCAATTTGTATCATTTGGCACAGAGCCAACAGGCCCGAGACTACTTACTGCTTTTGTAGCAGAAATTCTTGTTTGGTGGAGGTTTGTAAGTAAGAGGTATTAGATAGGTTATAATTCTTGTTTGGTGGAGGTTTGTAAGTAAGAGGTATTAGATAGGTTATAAAATTTTAAGTGGAGTAAAAAGTAGGAAAGTGGTTACATATCTTCCTTGAATGTACTGGTTTTGAGTTCTCTACATCGAAATTGAAGAGAGTTTTCTTGTTGATGCTTATACAAATGTTTGATCCTGGGTGCTTCTGTCAAATGTTTTTTAGATTTTCTATTTTCCTTTATTGTTATGACTTGCAATCAAAATTCTCGTGCTACTCATAATATTTTTTAACAAAATATTTAGTAACAAGCTTATACAATAAACTCCAGTCTTAAGAATGCTTTTCTTATTCTGGAAAGTTAACTTTTGGAGACATATTAATAAGAATTCCATATTGATTGTGAAATTACCTATGGTTGTTTGTTGAAGGGCTTCTAGTTATAATTGCTTAAATTTGCACAAATTTTTACTTTAAAACTCAAAGTATATACTTCAAAACTTTGACATCATGCACAATGACTCCAAGATTAATTCAGTAGCTTTTCAATTGCGAAGGAACTATATACCCAAATCAACAAAAGTAAAAGCTGAATGAGGAATTGCGAAGCTTGTTCTAATCTCTTTGAATGTTTTTCTTCGTTAATTTTATTATGCTTGTTAGTGGTATATCTGTAACAGTTTGAAGATACAAATTACTAAGAGGGTCTTTTGGTACCTTTAAATGATTCAAGTAATTGATAAACTAGTGTATCAACCTCAAACTGTTGTATCAGGTGTATGATGTGACTTCATTTCTTGAAGATCATCCTGGGGGTGACGAAGTCTTGCTAGCTGTTACTGGTAAGATTGTTGCATTGCCTAGGTTGTACAAACCTCACCCATTGATTACTTCGTTTCATTGCTTTCTGGTATCTTAAATTTTGCAGAGAAAGATGCAACAGAGGACTTTGAAGATGTGGGCCACAGCGATTCTGCTAAAGAAATGATGGAAAAATACTATATTGGTGACCTTGATAGCACCAGTGTTCCACCAAGAAAGAAGTACAAGCCACCTCAGCAAGTAGCGCATAGACCTGATGACTCCGGATTTGCATTGAAGATTATGCAATTCCTGGTACCACTGTTGATCTTGGGTATAGCATTTGCTTTGCGATTCTATGGCAAGAAAGAGGACTAGTTGGATCATGGTATGAAGTTGCGAAAGTTAGTCCATGTTTCTTTGATAATCTATTACTTAATAAGTATAATTGTAGAATTTCAATTGGCACTTTTTATTGGGATTGATCATAGTATGGCTGTACCTTTGATTGCTGCTAATAACAATGGCTTGGTTAATTCATTCCGGTATGGCTATCTGTTAAAATCATTTCCTTACTGGTAGAGATTTCGCTAGTCTTATATTTTACTCTTAGACAACTACAAAGAAAATATATTAAACTAAAAAGAAGAAAAAACAAGCTTCACACAGAAGCAAACATGCATGGGAACTATGTATGTATATTATTATTAATACATAATACATTGCTTTGGAATGTTAGTTATGGCTAATTAGGTACGGAGATCTCCAATGTATGAAACAATGGTCTTTTCAACTATTCCTGTATGGATGGGGTTTTATGGAATTAGCTTTCCATATAAATTCAATCACCCTTAAAAAAAAGAAAAAAAAATTAACAATAAATTAATTAAAAATCTATACCCTTAAGGAAAGAGGGTTTCAATAACAACGGAAGGGAATTTAACTCCCCCGACATCCTAAGTTTGCATTTAAAAAAATGACCCTAAAAATATTTTTGAATTTTTTTTTTTTTAATTTAGAAAAGCTCACGTGGCACACTTAGGATTCATTAAACATGTAAAATGGGTTAAATTGAAAATATTTAAACATATGTGGGTAAAATTAATTAACGAAAGTTGTTTAAATTTTGAAATTTGAAAACGAGCCCCCACCTTTCAAAATCGCTTAATTGAGCCATATACCCAAAAAAACGATCGACGAACACTATTCGTTTCTCTGCGATTTTTGGCAACTACAGTGCCTAAATTCGGCAAATTTTCAATCCTAAAGCTTTCTTGCACAAAACCATGGTTGACATTCACAAAGAGGAGGAAAACCCAATCCCACTTCGAATTCTAAACTCTGGCGACACCAACAGTTCAATAGCTGTAAAAGAAGACGCTTCGGTGGATCATCCGATGAGTGAAGGTGGTCCAGAGGCAGAGGAGACGACGGCAGCACAAGAACAAAGAGAAGAATCAGAAAACAGTTCTGAAGAGGAAGACGCCGGCGAGAATTTAGGCGAGGAGGAGGACGCCAGTGAAGAAAGGGTACGTGTTTTACTTGTTTTTTTTGAATTGGATGAGAAAATGGATTGATTTGTGCAAATTTGGGGGAGATGTAGTTGGTTTTATTGTTATGGTGGTTGTGACGTTTTGTTGAGTAGTTGGCAGACATTGGTGGAATGGCTTTGTTTGAGTTCCAGAGGATGGAGGAAAGCAAGGGAGGCTCTAGGGAGGTTGTTTCTGGGAGTTTGGTGGGTTGGGGATGGCAGGAGGTGGCAGAATAGAGGGGTTGGAAGGTTGCCCTGCATATTGGTAAGGCTGGCGCTATGCGTGGCCAGCCCTATAGGGCTTTCATTTGCAAGGCTGGCTATGTTTGTTGTGTTAGAAGTGTTAAATTGCAAGGTTTTTTAATTCATATGTTGGTGGAGTTTTAGCTTTGGTGATTATTTGGATGTGTTTTTTTTAGTTGTGGGGATAATAGTCTTAATTGTGGTGATCCTTAAATTAGTGATCTTATGAATTTGTATGCTATGAATGAATGTGTAACGATGGTGCAAGTGATCCTTAATTGTGTTTTTTAATTCATATATTTTACTTTTGTTTGTGCGTGAATGTTGTCTGTGCATGAATGTTGTTTGAGTAAGAGAAAGAGCGACATAGACGTCAGTGAACAGAGAGAAAGAACAACATAGATGAAGAGAACTGGGAAGGGAATAAAGAAACAATGAAATTTTTTGCCCTAATCTAAAGTTTTTATATGTGGCGGGTAATTACAAACCCCCCCCCCCCCCCCCCCCCCCCCCCCCCCCCCCCCCCAATTCTTAACTGTAGGAACTGGTACCAGAACCGTAAAATGTCGGCTCCAGATTCTTGGAACCAGATCCTACCCATTGACANAGAGCGACATAGACGTCAGTGAACAGAGAGAAAGGTGAACATACAGAGAGAAAGCTGGGAAGGGAATAAAGAAACAATGAATTTTTTTGCCCTAATCTAAACTTTTTATATGTGGCAGGTAAATTACAAAAACCCCCAAACTCCATAATAATATTTCATTTCAGTCCCAATTCTTAACTGTAGGAACTGGTACCAGAACCGTAAAATGTCGGCTCCAGATTCTTGGAACCAGATCCTACCCATTGACAATCGGTTCTAGGTAGGAACCAGAACCAAACCCCAGGTACCCAACAGTTCCGGTTCTGAACGGTTCTTTTGAACACCCCTAGGTATATGAATCTCTTTTTACTTACTAGAACTCAATCCAAGTCATTGTTGATTTTGTCATCAAAAGGTATAGAAGTTGGACTTACAATTTTGTAGTTTATGTGATGCTGTCTTATTTGGTTGTCTTAAATAACTGGATTGTCTTGAATTGGATCAGCTAGTGTTGTTAGGCATCAGGCTGTTGATACTTGGGTTGTGGTGCTGATGCTGAAGGTGTGTCAAATAATTTTGGAGGATGGGGAAGTGGCTAAAGAGAATGATGAAGAAGGGGGATGGAGGCTGTCGACCCAGCTTTTTTTTTTTCGGTGTATATAAGAGATTTATTTGTTGTACATAATGTTGTCATTGAATGTAATTGACGCATTTCAGATTAATACAAAAGCTATTAAGTATTGCTCTCCCTCTTTTGAGTTTGAGTTTATTTAGTATTCTTGTTACATGGCATTGATGTGTTGATGCAATAAGGTTGTCAAATTCAGGAGAAAAGCTAGAAAAAATAGGTATTGTCATGATCGCTTAAGCGATATATAAGCGACTGCATATATCACTTAAGCGACAAAGGGTTTTCCATAAAGGATCGCTTAAGCGAGACAATAAATCTCTTAAGCGATCATGGATCTGAATAGATGTTTATACTGTTATGGACTTGATCGCTTAAGCGATTTTGTATCGCTTAAGTGACCAAGGGTAAAAGCAAAAAATTGCTAAAGCATTAACATAAATCGCTTAAGCGATCGTGCACCTGTGTAGATCTTGATTCTGCCTCGGACTTGGTCGCTCGACCAAGGGTAAAAGCGATAAGCGATACCATTAATTGCTTAAGCGATCATGCATCTAGGCAGATCTTGATTCTGCCTCGGAATTAGTCGCATAATCCCTTAAGCAAGACCATAAATCGCTTACGCGATCTTGCATCTAGGCAGATCTTGATTCTGTCCAGACTTAATAGCTTAAGCGATCCATAATCGCTTAAGCAACCAAGGGTAAAAGCGAAGAATCGCTTACGCAAAACCATAAATCGCTTACGCAAAACCATAAATCGCTTACACCAGCGTGCATCTGGGTAGATCTTGATTCTGCCTGGGACTTAATCGCTTAAGCAATTTTGTCTCACCTAAGCGACCAAGGGTAAAAGCAAAGCATAGCTTAAGCGATACTTTAAATTACTTAAGCGATCGTGCATCTGAGCAGATCTTGATTCTGCCTAGGACTTAATCGCTTACACAATTATGGATCACTTAAGCGACCAAGGGTAAAAGTGAAGCATCGCTTAAGTGATCTTAAGTCTTGCTTGTATGTGATCGCTTAAGCAACAGTACCAGATCGCTTAAGCGACTAAGGTTAACTAGGGCATCCGAACCATAGTCGTGCACGGTGAACTCTTGAGCATTAATAAGATAGGCAAGCAGTGCATTTAGTAGTTCCATACGTTCTAGCAATAATTTTTCAACTGACGAAACAAGGGTTGGGGTAAAATTATCTGACTCTGTGCAACGCTCGTGGAACCACCGTGACAATGTCCTTTGGATTGCATAAAAAATAGCAACTATTGAAAACTCTATTTCTATTAACAACTTCGAATTTATGGATTTGGCTATGTTCATGGTCATGACATCAAACCTTCTTCCTGGAAAGTAAGATCTACTCCATCACTCGAAACCAACATCATGCTCAAGATACTTAGTAATTCTATCATCCTTGATTCGGATTTGCTGGAAGTGCTCCTCGAACTCATCAACTCGATAAGTTTTTGCTGCCATGTAGTATGTCTAGAGGAGGCCAGCACACTTAAACTTTTGTTTTATGTTCTCACTAAGGTGCCTCACACAGAATCTATGATGTGCTTGAGGGTAAATAGTGTTAATTCCCTTCTTTATAGAGTTATGCCTATCAGATATTATGCACAACTCATCACTGTCAGGCACTATCGTACGTAATTGTTAAAAAAATCAAGTCCACGACTTGTCATTCTCAGAGTCAATCACACACCATGCAACGGGATATGTGTGATTCTCGTTGTCCTGTGCAGTGGCCACTAACAATGTACCTCCATACTTTCCAGTGAAAAAGCATCCATCAACAGCCAACACCTTTCTCATGTTTACAAAACCCCTTATAGTAGAACCGTAAGAACAAAAAAATATTTAAACATCATATTCTTGTCCCACTTCAAAGCCGTCTTGCTATCTTGGTTTGTCAACTCAAGCATATAGCGGTACGCTTCTAATACTGCGTACTCATGCTCCGGCGTGCCCCTCACAAAATCTTGTGCATGTTGTCTCCCTTTCAAGCATTTCCAGTAACTAACAGCACATCCCAACTCTGTGTGCACAAGTCTCTGAATGTCTTTAGGAAATGGACATTTCCCTTCAACAAATTGACTTTTGACAAATTGTCCAATAACATCAGTGGAGGCTTGTCGATGCTCACTTCAATATGTCCCAAACCACATGTGTGCTCACGGGTAGACCTGGCAAAACGGGTGGGTGAGCCGGGTACAGTCCGGGTCAAACGGGTACGGGTCCTTATACGGGTCAAGATATACGGGTCCAAAATGTTGGACCCATGCCCTACCCTATACGGGTACAGGTGGACCTGTATTTTCTCTCTCCAGATTTTAGTTTTTATTTAACCCCAAATAATTTTCAATTATGACAGTTACACCCCCAAATTTCCTACAGTTTTAATTTTTTACATTTACACCCCCTAAATCAACTACTCTAAATTCAATTCAATTTAGAATATAAACCAATAGGAATCAAAATAAACAAATAACACATAAACAAACAAACAATAACATATAATACAAAACTACAAAAACCAACCAAAATAAACAAATACAAAATCACTAATACA